TCACCCCTATTGTTCAACCTGGCCCTAGAACCTCTAGCACGTCACGTCCTAGTTACACCTTCCCTCCAGGGTATAAGGGTGGGCAAGGAGGATCTGCGAATCGCTTTGTTCGCAGATGACGTTCTTTTGTTTACCTCACGGCCCAAGGAGGATGCATTAGCGGTACAGGAATTGTTCGCCCATTTTACTACATTTTCTGGCCTCAGAATCAATTTCACGAAGAGCGAGATTTTACCCCTCTCGGACACGAGGTGGGACTGGGATGAGCGAATGCTGCTCAGAGTGGCACAGCGAGACATTACGTATCTGGGACTCAAGGTGGGTAAAAAATCCTCCTCCCTTTATGGGCTAAATTACCCCCCACTGATTGATAAAATCATCAAGGAGTTGGAAGCCTGGGAGAATCTCCCATTATCACTCATCGGGAGGATACACTTGTTTAAAATGTCTAGCTTTGCCAAATTGTTGTATCCACTCCAAACTCTTCCCCTCCTGTTGAAGACTTCGGATATTGCCAAGATCACTAAAGCCATGACACGCTTTATATGGCATTCAAAGCGGCCTAGAATATCTATTAAAAAGTTATGGCTCCCGAAGAGTGAGGGCGGGGCTAACCTGCCTAATATAAAATTATACAATTACGCCTGCCTACTAAGACATGCTTTGGACTGGCTAAATGACGAGTCTGCATACTCCAATGCGCCCCTGGAAATGGCGTTTCTAGCCCCATGGGATATTAAAGCCATCCTCCACTGCAAGGTCTCAAATCTCCCCACGGGTGTTCAACATAATTTTTTATACAGGGACACGGTGGTGGCTTGGAGGGAGCTGCGGAAGGGTATTAAGCTCTCCCCATTTCTCTCCAGGCACAGTCCTATCATGCACAATCCCATGTTCCCCCAGGGCATGGAGTATATGGCGTTCCGCCTGTGGAAATCCAAAGGCTTACACTCCTGGAAGCAACTATTCCGGCCCGACACGTGGGCACCGTATACCGTCCAAGAACTGGTAACACGTTACCATCTGCCCTCGCATCACTTCCTACACTTCTTACAAGCCACTAAACATTGGCAAGAGATAACTAGAGATCCCAAGAAACTTTTTGCTGCATCCTTCCTGGACCTATTATTATCCTCTAGATCGTATTCGATATCTACTCTATATCCTAGACTTCAAACAGTATTCACACCACTGCTGACTAACTCCAATGTCAAAATTTGGGCCAGGGAGTTCGAGGATCCAGACCTGGTGGATAAGGCCCTACAGGGGTATAACAAGGTCAGGAAGGTGATCACTAGCGAAATATGGAGTGAGACCCAGTTTAAACTGCTGCACAGGGCTTATGTCCCGTATTTTGTGCCAGAGGGTACCTCTCCACACCAGCCTAAATCATCCAGCTGTCCGAAATGTGGCTGCGCCCATCCCACTTTGAAACACTGCCTATGGACTTGTACTCGGATTCAATATTTCTGGACGTTACTGCTGGCCTATATCGCACAAATTCTCTCTCGGGAACCCCGATTGGACCCTGCCCTATGTCTGTTCAGTCATTCAACTGTGCTACAAATGGATCTACACTGAATTATTACAAGGGGCTGGTGATTCTGGAGTCTGTGTCTGTTCTACCCTAGATGCGTAGGATCCCTATACCCTCTCTCCCAGAGAGAATATGTTAATAAAGTTCTTCAGCATCATACTTCTGGCCTGGATATCAGCTCTGTGGGTCACTAGAAGAGATCGGTTGATGCTGATGGTGCAGCTGGTTGCTAAAATCCCTAGACAGGCTACTGATGACCCGGGTTATTCTGATGGCTCCTTCTGCGGTGAACGCTACACCCTTACACTCTGTGAGTAACCAGCCTTATAGTTTTATAGTCTAGCCAGAGATAAAGAACAAACGCAAAACCACTACAAATATTACATTTAGTTGAGAACTTATATGCTTTTGCAAGTTATATGCGCTGCAATCAGCAGACATCTACATAGCTATTAATTGTTATCAGTTTGCACCAAACTGACAAGCTGCCAGAGAATGATCTGTCAGTTGGGTTTCAAGGTGCAACTTTATTTCCTTGTCCAAAAAGCCCTGTGTTTTTCTTTTTAATCTACTATATTTCACAACTTCAGATGGCATGTCTTTATACAGCACAACAGGAAACAGTAAAGTAAGTCAGTTCTCGGTTTAGCAGCCAACAGATCACTCGGCACTTGGCAATGAGATTTATTGACTTAATCGATAAGAACACTTGATGTGTGTAACTCTAATTCACCCACATATAATAAAATAAGATGTTTTTATTTTGTGAAATGGCCGTGTTGTTGTCTTTTAATTTAGTTGTTGTTTCAGACCTCACTATGTAGTTACTTTGGCCCTGCAAGTGATATCTGATCCCACAGAAACTGTTACTGGATGATGCTGTCCAAGACAATGGTTACATTGAGAAACAGATCAATCTCTATTAAAAGGAGCACTTTACTTAAGGTGGCCATAAATGCTGGAGAACGGCTCTAGATGCACAAGAGCTCTTGTTTAGGGTGAAGGTGGGTGGGGGAGTCATGGCATTGGAAACAACAGAGACTTGGAAAGATTATCCAACATTTTTTAGGCACCTTAATACTTTTGTGACCAGAGGTCATTCAAGCCAAGACAAATTTAGCAGTCTCAATTTGCGCCAGTTAAAAGAGAACTATAGGGTAAGTGTTTTCCCCCATAGTTCTCTTAAGGGTCACAGGAGGACATATACTAGCATCCTCCCGTGACCCAAAGCTCAGTATATCGCTAGCTACAGCTCCCGGTATACGAAGGCCTCTATGAGGCTGAGTGATTTTCACTCACCTCATAGTTCTCCTTTAACTTGACAATAACTGTATGACATATTTGTCAGTTTGAGTGAGGGGTCTAAGAACGTTCCCAGGTGCACAATTGTAGTTCTCTGCTGCAATGGTAATTGATTGTCTAATGGAACGGGGCGTCATGCTGGAGGACTTTGCAGTCACATTGCAGTCACTTTGTAGTCATGAGGGGGTGAACAAAATCTTAGCTTGTTTCCCTATTACTTGCTATTGTTTTATTGTACTCAAGTTTTGGCAGCCTGCCAGCCCTCTAATGTAAACATATTGCAAGTGTTTTTAGTTTGTTAAAAACTGACTTTAGAGTGTTTGTAGTGATCCCTGAAGATCTTTGAAAATGAATTGCTTCACAGTATAAATAGTTAGAAAAGTCAGTGGTGTGTTGATTTGAAGCTCCTTTACTGCTTTTTTAGGAATATGTTAATAATGTTCATAGTTTAGACACAGAGGCATTTTGATTATGGGCCCACTTTAACAGCATTGCAGATAAAGGTGAAGAATTCACAAGCTGCTTTCACCTGCATTATTTGCCAAATCCACTTCTCTGCATCCAGGCACCCCTGGTACCAAGCATACACTGTTACAAAGGCTTGACTTCTCGACTTCTCGACTTCTCAACCTTTCTAGCTCTAGGCCTACGCCCCACCCCCAGTTTCCAATGAGATGGAGCTTACTGAACAGTGGGATGCCAGAGAAGGCATCATCGTGAAGTGGAGAAAATCAGTGGCAGCATGTTTCGAAGACTGGGGGTTCTTCAGGCACACAGGGGTAGATTTGAAAAATCTCAAAGTAGCTGAAGGCAGTTTACTGTTATGTCTAATTTTAGATTATAAAAAGTTAGGAAGAACTGACAGTTCCACCATTAAGAATTCCAACCATGTGTGTATGCTTAAAATCAGCAGCAGGAATGATAAACCTCTTCTTTTCAAATATCATGTATAGTATCTATAGACATGACATGAAGATCGGCTAGGTAATGTGGTGATATTATGACAATGGGAACCCTCCTCAACCCCCTTAGCTGGACACTAACAGCTAAAAGAGGCCTGGGCATTTTACGGCCCCCCGTTACTCATAGCCTAGCACTGTCCCCCCTCCTTTTTTAGTCATTGGTTGCTAGGACTGCCGGTGTCCTAGCAACTAAAGACGTCAGGTGTCCACCTCCTTTGCAGTCATTGGCTGCTAGGACTGTTGGTGGTCCTAGCAACCAGTGATGTCAAATGTGTTCCTGTGTTCCCCACCCAGCATTACAAGAGGACAGAAGAGTATCCTCTTCCACCTCCTGGCTCCCACCTCTGGCCTACTAATAAAGTAGTGAAGCAAGGTATGTGGGGACAAAAATATAAAAGGAGTACTCTAAAGGATCAAAGAAGTAAGGGGCACTCCACAACAGTCCAAGTTTTACATGTGGCCCCTTGAGAAAATGAATTACCCACCCCTGAGATAAAACAAGCAATTTACTACTACACGCAATGCAGAGGTGCTGTCACAACCCCAAAGACTCTCAGGCTCATAAGGTTACAAAAGTTCCCAGTATGTTGTAGGTAGCTTACTGCTGTCCATGTGATTTCCCCAAACCTCATTACGAATCATCACAACTCTGCCTGATGACCACCAGCTATAAATACTGGGCAGTTTTTAGTAAATATAAGCAAGGTTCCTAAAGACTGAATAAGCCTTTTTTACAGTCCACAGGTCGGTGAAACTAAGATGTTCACAGTGGTCAAAGTTCAAGTTAAAATGTAGGTTAGCAAACTGTGACCGTGGTAGCTGAGCCAGCACTGTGGGATTGTGTAATCCATCCAGCCAGTACAGGCAGAGACTGAGTGGGTTGCGATAGAAACCTTTCACATACAATATGAGATTTATTCCACCACATTCAGCAGGAGAAGCAGTGCCAGGACTCAAAGGTGTACTTCTATCCCTGCACGCCAGGATCTGCAGAAGTGCAAAGACAAAAAGGAGCACTCCTTAGTAACATCAGTGAAACCTGGGCTGGTTTTTCAGCAGAGGTGGTGCTGGCACATACACTAGGAAATAAAGTAGTGTTAAATTAAGGCCAAGGATAAAATAATACCTTCTGTTTCCCAGCAGGGAAAATCTGCTGCTAACAAAACAGAGAATTGTATTGGACAGAAGAAATGACTTACTTTTTTCCTTCATGAGCAACTTTCTCCTCTCAGCAGCTTTTCAGCTCTGCAACATAAGCGGAGAAGCACATTAGTGAAATGCTTTTTCTACACGAGCGACATGTCTGCAAATCAGTAACTCTGCTTGGTAACCACACGTTGTAGATGATTAAATTGTCAGGGAGGGGAATGTTATTGACAGAAGGGACAGGAGTAGCATCCACACAAAGACAAGCTGTTTGAAGGTCATATGGGTGTAGCTGGGACCTGGCTAAAAAAGATCTATATCAGTAAAATACAGAGAGACTTTAATCCAGGGGTAGCCAAACTCTGGCCCTCCAGCTGTGGTGGAACTACAAATCCCATGAGGCATTGCAAGATTCTCACAGCCACAGACATGACTCCCAGAGAGCAATGCATCATGGGATTTGTAGTTTCACCACAGCAGGAGGGCCGGAGTTTGGCTACCCCTGAGTTTAACCACATAGACAGAAGGGGTAGTTGCCCCAGCCCCACTGGTCTAGAGGGCCCACCAGAACTGTTTGAAGACATGTGTAAACTATCAATAGCAATAATACAAAACGTGCACAGCGCTACCAAAAAAAATAAATAAATAAATATGAAATTCATAACTCTCGAATAATACTAAATCCTCCAATCCTATTCCAGTGCATCAGAATAAATAAGCCATGATTTATTTATAAAATCTGCAAACTCCAAATTTCAAAAACGTTTGATAAAAGATAATATATAGTTCATGAAAAGTGCAAAAATATGTCCAAATAATAAAACCATGTTCAATATACAGGTGAAACTGTATAGGTGAAACTGTATAGGTGAAAAGTGCACGTTTTGTATTATTGCTATTGATAGTTTACACATGTCTTCAAACAGTTCTGGTGGGCCCTCTAGACCCTTGGTTCTCAACTGGTGGGTCGTGACCCAAAAGTGGGTCGCGACCCCGTGTTCAGTGGGTCGCCGCATGCCCTCCACTTTTCTAGGTAAGAGTCTCCCCCTAGTGCAGCAATGTCAGTTATCACGCTGAGCAGCCAAATATGCTGCCTGGCACTGATTGTCAGCTAGAGGTGGGGTGAGGTGGGGATGGCTGGGGGAATGGCCGTGAGGGAGCTCCATCCATATGTGCTTACAGCTCCCTCGCATGTCCTGTAGAGGTGTCTGGACCGGAGTGACATCACATTCTGGCTGCCAGCACCTCTACAAGGTGCACAGGGGAGCTGTACCAGCAATGCACATATGGATGGAGCTCTGTCACAGCACAGGAGCCCACACTGGACTCAGAGCTGAGGATCCACTCCAGTTCTCATGAGGTAGGGAGACTGAGTGGATCCTAAAAAATAAAAACTTTTTTTGGAGTATGTGTGTGTGTGGTTGTGTATGTTTGTCAGTGTTTTTGAGGGCCCGTTCACACTAGTACAGTGCGTTAATCGAACAGTCCTGTCCATGTAATCACATTTACTAGTACGCGTTCTGGTGTGGGAGGTGCGTTGCGCTGTCATTCATTTGAATGGCCCCCCAAACGCCCCTCCCGCCCACAGTACAATCGCGGTACCGCAATGCCGTGCGCTCCATTGCAGTTCGGGTCACGATTTAACGACCAAGGACAAATGTGTGTCCTGAGTTTGCACAGGTTGAGAACCACTGCTCTAGACCAGTGGGGCTGGGGCAACTACCCCTTCTGTCTATGTGGTTAAACTCAGGGGTAGCCAAACTCCGGCCCTCCTGCTGTGGTGAAACTACAAATCCCATGATGCATTGCTCTCTGGGAGTCATGTCTGTGGCTGTGAGAATTTTGCAATGCCTCATGGGATTTGTAGTTCCACCACAGCTGGAGGGCCAGAGTTTGGCTACCCCTGGATTAAGGTCTCTCTGTATTTTACTGATATAGACCTGTATATCAGTGTTAAAAAAAAAAAGTCCACATGGCGCTCCAAACAGCAAGAAAGTGTTGATACAGTAAAGATTAAATGCCAAGTATTCCACTGAACGGAGGAGGATAGTCAAACTACTGCAGTGAAAAATAGCATTAATGGAACAAGAAGGAGATGGTCTCGGTCTCTTAGTACAACATAACATAACATCTTGCGTGATTTGACCGCCTCATAGTAGAGGGTCAAATCTTTCTGGTGAGTGCGGAACGCTTGCTTTATTCACGGGGAGATTATCATTCTTCACCACTTTTCGAGACGTATTGTGGAATACTTGGGATTTAGTATTTAACTGTATCAACACTTTCTTGCTGTTTGGAGCACCATTTGGACTTTTGTATCGCTGATATTGATTATTTATAAAACACAATTTTATCATTTGGATTATTAATTAGACATATTTTTACACATTTTATGAACTATATATATTTATCAAATGTTTTAGAAATTTGGAGTTTACACATTTTATAAATAATGGTTTATTTATTCTGATGCACTGGAATAGGATTGGAGGATTTAGTATCATTCGAGAGTTCTTAATTGCATATTTATTTTTTCACATAAAATAATCATTTGTTTATCATGCACTTTAATAAGAAATTATACATTTATTTCTTTATTTAATCTTCTTGGTAGTGCTGTGCACATTTTTATTATATCTGTTGGTGATTTCACTAAGTACAGCAGCTTCCTAGTCACATTTTTTGATAATTCACTTTAGCGTGGAATTGTACTACTTGTATACCAATAGCAATAGTCCTAGGGCCTCAGATTCGGGGGTTCGGGAAAAGTACTTATATGATATATAGTGGTCCAGTTTTTTCATCCACCTGACCTCAGCTCCCTGTAACCTGGTCACATTTATATGCAAGTATTCTGGCAGCTACGTTCATAGTGCAGAGTGACGTCATTCCCTTACTTAAAGAAGCAACGAAAGACTATAGACGGTGCTATTCCTGACCACCCATTAACCATATGGCAATGTGTAAACAGATATCCAATCTGTCTGTATCTATGGTAGGGATGCACCGATACCAAGTACCGATACTTTGCGAGCTCCAAAAATAGACTAGAGAAAAATTCAAAAGTTAGTAGGCAGCTGTTATTTGTAAGGAGCACACGGAGCTCCTGGGATTTGTACATCTCTGTTTTAATGTATGATTTTGTTTTTATAAATATAAAGGGATGCACTGATACAATTTTTGCAAGTACAAGTACTGGTACTTGCCCAAGTACTCACACATACAAGTACTGATACATTTTTGTTTATTGTCATGTGGCAGTTTTTCTAAAACAATACAGACTAATGATTTCAGGACAGTGATGGAGAGCCAGAACCAGGTCCCAGCTGCAACAGCTGCAATCCAGGTAGTTCTCATGAAAATGCCAAGTATCGGCACTGGTATCTGAAAAGTATCGGTGCATCCCTAATCTATGGTATTGCCTAACGTTTTGTATCAGGGAGAAATTAAAAGATAGGATGGATACACAACTACAGAATGTTTTTCCAGGGCTCACTAATGTCTTAAACAGGTTGTGCACTGTAATATGTTCTCCAATCAACTATTTACTACTACCATGGATGAGCTAGGCTTCATCCAGTTCAGGCTGTTGCAACCTATGCTCATTTATTTACAGTAAATAAGCTGATCATTGTGTTTTCTTGTTTATCCACAGTAAGCAATATGAGTCTTGCTTTTTACCCGCTCTCTGACTCTATCTATGGCATTGCCTAACATTTTGTATACGTGGGAAATTAAAAGATAGGATGAATACACAACTACAGAATGTTTTTCCTGGGCCCACCAATGTCTTAACCAGGTCCTGTACTAGAACATGTTCTACAGTCAACTATTTACTACTACCATGGAAGAGCTAGGCTTAATCCAGTTCAGGCCATTGTAATCTCTGCTCATTTATTGACCCTAAATAAGCTGATAATTGTGTTTTCTTGTTTACCCACAATAAGCAATCTGAATCTTGCTTTCATCCTTATCATGCACTGGGAAAATAACAGCTGACTCTGTCTATAAGTGAAGCAAACAAGTCTTCCTTTAGAGACGTCAGTAAATTAAGTTGAATATCTGTGGCCAGAGTTTCCAGAAAAGTAGAATAATCCTAAACGGCGTACAATAGTATGCGCTTTTATTTTACAACTGGGACATCATAGCTGCAATCTTAATGGTTGTTATAGGAAATTCAATTTACTTTGCTATAGCCATAAAATTGAAAATCTTCCAGCAATGCCAAGTAAGCTCACATTCATTTAGGTGGATGTCTATATGTATTTAGCATAAAGCTACCATTTAAAGGGAAAGTCATTCCCTGACTGAAACACTGAACATAGTTGTGGCTGGTGGAAGGTGGGAAGTGTCTTCTCTGACTCATTCATGTGTTTGCAGTTGTTTCTCCAACAAAGCAGATAGGGATATATGTGGAAAATGTGTGAAAATTGGCCAATAGCTCCACCTGCTGGCTGCAAATACCTGAAAACAATGTTACATTTTTTTCTTTAATACACCTGTAAATTTAGTTCCATTTATAAATTGTGGTGACCCCCCTGGCAGTTGAATGTTATTCACTGTTATTCCCTCTCAGAGACCTTTTATGCGTTATTGTGGAAGGTTGCTGTTCATCTGTTTACCAAGCTACCCATTTGTTGTTTTTTACAAAACTGCTTGTGAAGAAGATTGATTTGCTTTCTCCTCACTTCCTTACTATAAACACTGCAGTACTAAAGTGTGCTGCCAACTGTGGCAAAGCAACAACATTTATAAAAGGTGTATACTGAAAAGGCAAACATACTAATGGTATTGTATATTATATACCAATGTACACAAGTAAAGGCCAACTGTGTTCAATGCAAGTACCAGCATTCGTAGAAGAGACTGGGCAGGGGCCTTGTCAGATGATGGACAATGTTAATGAAAGCACCTGTAAGCCACACGAACAGAAAAGGCAGTCAAATTTTTTTATCTCAATAGAATGATATAAATGAGGCAAATGTTGTTTGCTGTTTCACCCCTTGCTGTATTATATGCAACGCTTCTCATAAAAAGGTATGATACCTCATATGATACCTTATATGAGAAGTGTTGCATATAATACAGCAAGGGGTGAGAGAGGCATTGAGGACTGCCTGAATGACTGTTGG